AAGGTTCCCCCTCATCAGGAGAACGAAATGACTAGAAAAGGGAAAAAAGAAGAGAGATAAAGCATCGACAAAGGAGTCTCAGAAACACGTGGTCGTTATCAGCAACGCACGTGGTCGTAACCGGATTTTGAATGAGTTACACTGGCCGCCTACTTTTACTGAGCCAGGCTATCTGATCAAGCATAAAACACATACACTAAAACGAAAAAAAAAATCAGCAAAGTCAAAAAATAGGGAGCGAGGGGCAACTGCACCTTCACGCACCAAGTCTGACGAAGTCCATATATAACTATATAGAGTTATTCCTTGCCTTCACGCACCAAGTCCATATATAACTATTTAGAATTATTAGGCATTTTAGAAGCAGGAGTGATGAAAAATGAGCAACGCCTTCACCGAGAATCGAACCGCGGACCTCTGGAATACGCGGTCAGTGTGCAGACCATCACACCACGAAGGCATGCCAAGAAGTTGGGAGAAATACCTTATTATTACTGCAGTATTATATAATTTGAAAGGACTTTTAAAACTCCTATAACATCCAATTTTTTCCAAGTTTCGTTTTTTCCTTTAAATGTTCTATTTATATTACCATTATTAGATTACGCTTAATATTCGGATGATATTTAAATTTAAAAAACTGACCAATTTTAAAACTAAAAGCTCCTGAAAAATTACACTGTTCCAAACTTCAAATCAAAACTTCGTTTTACGTTAAGTTTTGCTAGATTTTTTGAACAAGAGAAAAATGTGCCTTGCAAAAGTTACACGTAGTAGCGTTCCGATGGCTGTATATCCTAAACACCAGTTGTGTTTCATATATATTTTCTTAGGGATCTCTATGAAAGCATCTTTACTCTTTGGGCAGATATTTTAGCGTGCTTCAATATTTCATATTAGCAATTTGCGATTCCTATCAAGGTCTGTAAATAATTTCTTAAATCTTTTTAGAAAACATCATCTTCAATAAAGAAAACCTGTGTACCTGTAATATAATGTATAAATTAGGATTAAGAATTTTTGGATTACCGCCAAGCAGATGAGTCGCTTATTTTAAGTAGTGTATTGTTAAAGCTATAAAATTCCATTTGCCATGGAGAAAAAAAAAAGCCTTTCAAAAAAAAAAAAAAAAAAAAAAAAAAAAAAAAAAATTCATATAGGCGGAATTTCACATGGTTGAGAAAAACATATTTTGGTCTCTATCGATTTGAAATAGTTAAAACATTTTATGGTTTCAAAGTGTAAATTTATGCCATTTGAAGAATGAATACTATAACACCTCTTTAAATTCTTGGTTAAAAAGATAAGTGCTTTTATTTCAAGATTTTTGATATACTGAGAAAATGAAAGCGTCGCTGCTTGTTTTCTTAAACACGGCAAACGAAACGAGAGTCATCTAAAGTAAATAATATTATATCTGATACATTTTTAAGAGGCCTGCGGAGAAACCTGCTAAAGCAACCATACAATCAGTATGTTTATCAGAATTTGAAACCAGATCGAATTACCAGTGTTCAGAAGTTTTAAGAACTCCCACTTCGAATTACTAATTCAACAGTATTGCCACTGATGGGCAAAAGCACCAGAGAAAGTGATAAGAAAAAGAAAAATTGGCAATAAAGTGCTGTATAGGCGTATACAGTTGTCAGGTGTTATCTTCAAAAGCGATATCGTACTTAGTGATACTTCCCAATGACTATGAACATAAATTTCGAATTGTCTTTTTGAAATTTTCAATAGGCATTATTTTGAAAATTATTGTAATTTCAAACAGCATTAATCTCATTATTAATTTCTTGGATAATTAACCATAAAATAATTAAGCCTTAAAATTTCACGATATAAATCAGAAGTTTTACAACTTTATTCATTTTACTCTGAATTAGAAAAGATTACATGTTGTTTCTTAAGAAGAAACAATAAAAAAACTGACTTTTGAAAAAAAAAGTTTTATATTGCAGAACTAGGATAGAAAATGCTTAGCGTAAATGTAGAAATACAGCATTTCGAGGCTATTTCCTGTTCAAGTTGACGCTGTAACTCGAAATCGAATTCCGTTAAAAGGTTAAGAGGAAATCTATCCTAATTACGTATAAATGGATTGCCCAAAGATGGGTTTGAAGACATGGCAACATAGTTGCACATTGCTATCGTGAGAAAAGAACAGGTCTTAAAACACAGTAGCTCCATCTTCGTTCAAAAATAAAACTTGGGTTGTAAATCTATAGTACGTGGTCTTGATTATATTTGCTCTGTTTTTCCCATTATTGGACATTTAATTTGCAACAACAGTTTGCTGATAAAAGTTCCAGGAAGTTACTTATTTTTATTTCCGTTTGCTTTCAGTCGCGCGGTTGACAACGCAATTAAAGTAAAGCAATTTGCTCGTATATTTTACGGCCATACATTATTCGGAATTTTAGGAACTGGATGTAAATGAAAAATATATCAAGATAATAACGCTTTCTTATCTGGTTTATTTAAGCTATTAAATTAAGTAATAAGACAATGGAAGAAAAATACAGGCCACAAAATTGTTCAACTTGAGCGTGGTGTTTCTCATTAAAGCATAACATATTACAACTTTTGGAATCAAAGTAATGTCGTGGTTTTCTGAATATAAAATTCTCATTTTTATTCAGTTGTTTAGCATATTTATGATTATAAATATTCTTTTATATCCAATCATCTATTTCGCATTTTTGTATTCCAAAGCAACAGGAGTTTAATACCCTGAAAATAGAAAGAAAGAAATTTAAAGAATGAGTGGTTTATTTAATTATGGAAAAGCACTCAGAGCTTTCTGCCTAAACGATGGTTTCGTGGAGGACATTCTATGGAAAACTGGCTCATCTACAGATTACGCATGGAGAATATAAGGAAAACGGCTAAGAGGCCAGCCTTTTCGCCGAGGCTTGAACCCCGGATCGAACCAACTCGGCATCTTGTGGGCTTCGAAGACGATCCGTCTGTTCATGTCGCTCATTGAATGTATCGAAACTAATAGTATATCGTATTTGAGGCAAAAGACAGCATTTATAAGGTAAGGAAAACAAATCTTTCACTTTTGTATCAATTTTACAATTAAATTTAAGGGTTTATGGAGTAGCTAATAAAAATGGATTGAAATACTTCTGTTATCAAATTAATACATTCGTTTTTAGTCTGAACGTTACATCTAATTTTAAAGTAATTTTTTGCTTATTTTGAAACTAATTATGCAGTAAACATTCTTTGAAAATTATATGATATTCAAAAAGAATGATGTTACTCTGAATGTTCCGCATAAATTTTTTTAAAAGACGAAAGCAGTAATTATGAGAAGTGGTTGCCATCGAAATCACCACTATTCGTTAAGAGCACTGCAATACTACAGTGGTTACAAAATAAGTAGTACTGTAAAGAAAGCGTTTGTTGTTTTCGAATTTTACGAAATTCTGTCACAAAAGTAAAAAGCATTCTTTCGCATTCTTTTAAAGGAAGCTCCGAATCCGTTTTTAATGAACATTCCTTATCATAGGAAAGTATCAACCGTAGATGGAATCAGTTACAAGACCCTGATTCTCTGCATGAAAGAAAAAACATTAATTAACAACGAGTAGTAAATGCGATAGTTGAAAAATTATAGTATCTTCTAAACGCAGTCTTCCAAAGTCGAAATAACTGTAGAATCGTGATCTAGAACTCCCAAAGACAATCGTATAGCATGTTTTTCTAAATAGTTTTTCTTCAAATAAAATCAAATATATATAAAGAGAGACTTGAAAGTAAATGAAAACAGTCTGTTTCAAAAGCCCCCCCCCCACACAGAAAAAAAAAAGAAGAGAAAAGTTTTCAAAAAAAGAAAGAGAAAGAAAATCTTCTTGAGGGGAGAAAATATGGTGTTGGTGTTGGTGTATTTAATTATGGCAAAGCTCACTAGGGCTATCTGCCTAAGGGGAGGAATGCCTTCGTGGAGGACTTTCTAAGGGAAACTGGCTCGTATACACGTTACACATGAGGAAAACCACGAAAACACCCTTGCAGCCAGCCCGTTCGCGGGATTCGAACCTCGGACCGAACTACCAGTGTTCAGCGACTTTACCGCTCGGCCGCTGGGGGAAGAAAATATGTGACGCCGCCTTATTTTTCTTAGATAAAGTAACGCTTCATCTAAATGGTAAAATATTTCGGCACATCTTATGAAAAAGTGTGACACAAAGGTCCTTTTCTTCGTTTGGAAGAGTTCATCATTAAAAGTTCGTCTAACAGCGGCCGAGCGGTAAAATAGCTGGACTCTAGTAGTTAAACCTGGGTTGGGTTCCAGGAGAACGGGCTACCTGCATGGACGTTTTCGTGGTTCTCTCAACTTATAAACATTAAAAAACGAGCCCCTTTCTCTTAGAGGTTGTCCACGAAAGCAGCCCTCTTCTAAGGCAGGTGACCTTCGAGTGCTTTGTCATAATCAAATGAACCAAATAGAAAATGAAAATCCATTAAACTTTCATTGTAAAGGCATTCCTATCTTTCAAAATATAGCCTTCGACTGCTTTTTATTGTAAATAAAATCCATTTCAGTCTCTTAAAGATATTACACTGATAATAAGTGCTTCACATGAAACTTGAATTCCCTTTATTTTCCTGAATCGAAGGTTATAATCTGTAGAAAGAGCCATAAATTTTTCAATACCTTTCAGATTTTATAATAAACATTTGTCATTATAAAATAGAAAGAAAGGAAATTAATTTTTTACTATTCCTATTATTCGTTATGAAGCAACATGCAAACCAGTTACACACGTCTCAAGTATATATACAGAAATATTGATTAAGTATGATTTAGATCTGAAATGGGAATAACATTATAATAATACAAGTGTTACAAATATTTTAGTATGGAAATGTATAAGATATTAAAGAATCAAAAATTTCAATATTAATTGTTTCAGCAACCGCACATATACTTCATACCATAAAATTATTTGTCTTCGCTTTTCAAATGCAATGAAAATACAACTCACCTCTTTCATACCCAAATGTGTAAGATCGATTACTTTGACTGTGAAATTTGTGCGTAGGCCATTTTCATCGAATACAATACGTCCAGTCAGCCCCTGTAACTCCACCTGCCAAATACAGATAAATTAAGTTAGAAACTTTCAACAAACATACGGAAGATGATATTATTGCTTGTAAGGAATTGCAGGTAGCAATTTTTTGCTCATGCTCTGTAAGCTCCAGTCAACATAAAACTCAACCAGTATTACGTGTACTGACTACATCAGTACTATAACATAAAAATCAGTACTATCTAATTACAAGCTTAAAGCGATGGAAAATTGTCAATCAGTTACTGAACAAAGTACAAGAACATCAAAATTAGAATTACCAGTACTACAAAGTAAAAATCAATAGTACCAGTATTACAACATAAAAATTAATACTACATCCGTCGTGCACCAGTAATGCAACAAAAATATCAGTACAATTAATACTACATGATTTAAAAAGCGATGGAAAATTATAAATCATTTTCTGAACAAAGGTGCACAACAAAAAGGTTTATTGAAGGTAAAGCCCCAAATAAGTAAAAATGAATTTCTTACAAAGTTTCTTTAAGATGTAAAATTAAGGGAAAAAACCTCATAAATTGGTGGATTTTAGACAAAACTCTACCTGTTTTGATTGTGACCTGACACCGGACCATCTTCTCTAAGAGAAGGGACAGCGTACATAGGCCAATATATATGGAGAAATAAATGGATAAGCCTGGATAAAATGCTCATAGCACTATTTACAGTGAAGATGATCTTAAAAATGTGAAAGTTAAGATATCAGAATTTTATACTGAAAATGATGTTAAAAATGTGAAAGTTAAGATATCAGAATTTTATACAGAAGATGATGTTAAAAATGTGAAAGTTAAGATATCAGAATTTTATACTGAAGATGATATTAAAAATGTGAAAGTTAAGATATCGGAATTTTATACTGAAGATGATGTTAAAAATGGAAAGTTAAGATATCAGAATTTTATACTGAAGGTGATTTTAAAAATGTGAAAGTTAAGATATCAGAATTTTATACTGAAGATGATGTTAAAAATGTGAAAGTTAAGATATCAGAATTTTATACTGAAGATGATGTTAAAAATGTGAAAGTTAAGATATCAGAATTTTATACTGAAGATGATGTTAAAAATGTGAAAGTTAAGATATCAGAATTTTGAAGGTGTTACAAATAACTGGATTTTTCCAAGAAATATGCTATTATAATTCTGATATCTTACATTTTTTACAAGTTGTGGAGATTAATTTATTTTGACTAATAGTTAACTTTTAGTTAAAGCAATTTCCTTCCATTCTACGTTTCACCCACGCTTTCTTGCCATAATGCTAATCAGTTAGCGCGCGTTTATTCAAATTAAGGGAGAAAGAAGTGCTATTTAAGCGAAGGTTTCGGAAGGTGATTTTAGCATTTTAGCAACTCTTTGAATTCTTCCTCGTATGTAGAACTCTCATCTTCGGACTTCACCATATGTCAGGCCCAGTAGTCGGGATTCTCTGAGGATACTGGTAACAGCAGGAACGAATTATCCTGCTGGAATGCTAGGGAAAAGCACCAAAGTATCAAAGCATCTGTGATTTTAGAGCGTAACATACCTGCTTAAAGGTCATGTTGTTACTTCGACTTTGATTTGATTCGGTGGCTCTGAGTGCTTCTAGCCATTAAGCCTGTTTCCGCTGGCGTCTACGATTCAGAGCCTTCCTGCGCGTTCAAATTATGCTGGTTTAATTACATTTTATTTTAAGTTCAACATTACTTGTTTAAGTTAAGGCAGAATTGTTGGCGTATATAAGCCAAGTTTGTGCAGCTATATGTGATTTGAATAAAGGGTTCTTTACACCCCTCTTCAAACTTTGTGCGTTGCCCTAAGACCTGAGGATAATTTCTCATACAGTCTTTCTAGAGAGCTCATTAGTTTATGCTATCTAAGAATACGAGACCCTATAGAGTTATTTTCCCCCATTGGTAATAAATGCATTCTTTAATTATTCCAAGCATTAACTACCTTGTATGCTTGGCTGTTTTCTCCATTCAGCCTGCGAAATTCATTATAAGGCTCCAGTGAAGAGGTACGCTTGCCCCATTGCCATTACCTATGCTGGGGTGGCTCAAGGAAGTCTCCTCGCCCCCGCAATCTTTAACCTTTATGTAAATGATATTCCTAAGGCCCCAAATATCGATCTTGCATTATACGCAGACGATACAGCCATCATTTCTCAACACTCCAACACCCTCCAGGTAATCTCACAATTGCAGAGTTACCTTTCGACCTTAGAACTCTGGCTCGGTCTGTATAAAATCAAAATTAATGTCGCAAAATGTGCTGCCACCATGTTCATCCGAAGAAATATCCCAAATTTACCCAATTTAATGCTCTTCGGTGAACCCATTCCCTGGGTCTCTTCTTACAAATATCTAGGTGTTTTACTAGACTCAAAATTAACTTGGCAGCCTCACATCCGCAAAATCATAGCGGGTGCGACAGCTGTCAAAACCGCCCTACGCCCCCTCTTAGCTAGTCATAGCGACCTGTCAACTGATAACAAAATCTTGCTCTACAAATCAATGATTAGGCCGGTTCTTACGTATGCGTGTCCCGTATGGGGCCCATGCGCACTGACTAACAGAAAACATGTCCAAATTTTTCAATCTAAAATGCTTCGGCAAATTCTAAAAGCTCCGTGGTATGTACGGAACGAAGAGATTCATAACGACCTCAAAATTATGCCCATTAATCGCTATATACAGCGACTTTCGGAAAAATTTTTCAAAAATATTCAACGTGTCGCTAATCCTGTGCTTCATATGCTACCCGTATACGATCCTGCAGTTGCTTCTTCCCGAAAAAGACCCAGAGCGGTACTCAATAGGGAATATTCGGCTCTGCCATTTAAACGGGCTAGATATGAGCACACCGATAACCACGTGAATAATTACCTCTCGTTCCTTAACCCCCCCCCGCCTCTAAAGTTCTTTAATGCACACGGCATTAACTCGAGGAACCTCTTTAACGTTTCTTTAACAAGAAACATCACAGTCAAATAGGACTGCTTTAACTTACTATCATCTTTCAACTAAATAAAACTGAAAAAGTTCTCTCTAAAACTGAAAAAAGATTCTTTAAATTTTAACTTCTCTCTTCCTTTAAGAAGGAACTTTCTTAGGCGCTTAACAGCGTCCTTTTTGGCTTTTAAAAACCGCAATGACTAGCGGTCAAAAATAAAATGAAACTTCTCCCTCCCAGCTGATCACTGACAGAACCACTTTTTCGACCTGTAAACAGGTTCCCCCCTCCCCCCCACCTCGAAGAGCGCGCATCGGAATTCCCCTGCGTGTCCTTCATCTGACGTATGCAAAGAAAATGATTATCAAGGTTCAAGGAAACTTCACCTTTTATATTTCTAGTCAAAATTTTTATGGCTGCCCCTATCTAAATTATTCTGGCCCTTTTTCGGCGCAAAATTAAGACCTTCTGAGTTTTTTGCCTTTTTTTGACTCAGTGTGAAGGCACTTACTCCAAGTCATTCGGCTTATCAAAATTTTTACCCTATTTGACAATACCCTCTTTCGGATGATTAAAATTCCTTTGAAGATGTGGAGGTAAAGGCGTAATTGCCTATGAACTCCGTAAATTGCACTTCCTTGATCCTTGATCCTTGCCCCATTGGTTGATAATATGGAGTTCCAACGCGAGATTGTGTTACTTATCCTGCGAATCATAGTATTCTATTTAGTCCAAAAAAAAAGACGATTATTTGGTTTCCTAGCAAGTACATTAGACAATCACAGTTGATTATGCTAACAAGAAGATATATCATATCCACTCTAAATCGATAATTTTTTTGAGTTTTATTTGAAAAACTTTTCTAGTTCAAATTGCATTTTTGGCTAATTACAATAATTGAAGTGTTTGATTATCGCCTGAGACCACAAAGTTCAGATTTTGGGTCCCCTAAGTTTAGATGCTCTTAAATTATCCTATATTTCATCTTAAAACATATTTTCGGTTGTAAAAAACCATCAAAATCTTTTTTTTTTCTTTTTAAGCCCAAAGGGGTGTTAGCCTAGAAGGGCTTTTAGTCTCCAAACGGCATTTTGCTTCGAATCACTATAAACGGATGTATCATTTTTCAAATTTTTTCACTAAATATTATTGCCGTGTATTTTAGTTAAAGAAATTAAATGATGAAGAATCTGCAGGAATGTATGCATGTTTCTTGTACTGTGAAAAAATAGGGATGCCTATAGAGACATCAAATTTTGAATAACGTAGTCCTCCACCCGAATATGGGCATCTGGAAGTCCGAATCTTGAATTTCGAATTTGGCATATTATCTATTTTATATATTTTAAACTTTAGCGAATTTTTCATTAAGAAACTCAACGATTTCAAATCCAGTAATGGCAACACACTTGTACGGAATAAAATATATTTATCTCCAGCGCGCGAGACTGTTTATCGGAAATTCTAAAGATATGGTGTTTTTAAAAATTTTTACTCCAAAGGAGCGTTAGCCAAAATGCTTTCGAAACGTGTATGTATGTGTAAATGGGTGAAAAAAAAACGCCGCTTTGTACGTAAAAAAAAAAAAAAAAAAAAAAAAAAAAAAAAAAAAAAAATTTTTTTTTTTTTTTGCTTGTTTTTTTGGCCATCAAAAACTTTCGAAGAACCCTGAGAAAAAAAACTGTACCTGATTCTCATGTTACAGTCAGGCTTGACAAGGCGTTGTGCATTTATCTTTCATTTGTGTAATTAGGATATTTAACTCAAACTCCTTCAATTTACAAGCTAAAAATGAAAATATTATTAAACTATTGAAAATATTGTAGTAACCGTGTATAAAGTGAACAAAGATAGCGGAAAATAAATGAGAATTTGAATAAATCTTAAAGAATGCAAGACTAATTGAATAATGTTTAATAGTTACTTTAAGTGTATATTTTTTCATGAAGGTTATATTACATCGTGTAATTTTAATTTAATTAAGTATGAACACATCGCGATACAGCAAAAAAGATAACACTTAATATTTAATTACTTTCCAGAATAACCGCTGAT